ATGTATAAAATATATAAAATAAATTTAAATATTGCTCTTTCTGTATACAAAAAAACCCCAAACACACACAAAACAAAACAAAAACAAACAAGCAAAACCCAAAGGACACTAGATCCTGTTTCCCCTAAAAATTATGGAACACTTCACAAATTTGCATGTCATCCTCTTGCAAGGTCCATGCCAATCTTCTCTGTATTGTTCCAATTTTAGTATATGTGCTGCCAAAATGAGCACTACTCAAATCTTAATATTTAAATATTACTATCTTAAAAGTGACTAGAATAAGTCCCTTAAAAATGTCTGTGTCCTTTTGACATAAATTTTGCTTGATGGCATCATAAGATGTTACAGCTTCACCTTGTATTTTCTGTGCTCCAGATCTGAATTCAAATTTCCTGAAGGACCTATGATTTCTTTTACTGAGAATTGGTAGTCAGAAACCAAGATTTGTATGTTAGGAGTATTCATTTTTACTGAGCTCTTATTGCATCCAGAAGCATTTCAGTGGATAAAACTAGGACATATGTAAATATAAGTATACTTAAATATTGAGTTGATATTGTTATTTATGATTCAAATTTAATGATATAGTGCATTCCTTATTATATTCTTATTATATTATTTTGTTTGTTCTATATTGAAATTCTTGGGTCAAAAGTAATTTAAACACTGGAAAAAAACACCACAAACAAAGTAGAGATGAATGATAAACTTGGGGAAAAATGCCTGCAGTTTTCATCATAAGCAAATGGTTAATACCCCAAACAAAAACAGTTACTAGAAGGAGAAAATATAAAAAACAACAAAGAACACGAGAGATATATAAACAGTTCACCTAGAAAAGAAATGCAAATGACTCAGTATATGAAAATAGGCTTAGCTTAATCACTGTACATCAAATATAAATTAAAACTGATTAGAGGTACAATATTTGATTTGTCCACACTGGCAAAAATCCAAAAATTTGACAATATGCTCTACTAGCAAGGCGGTAGGGATAGAGACAATAACGTATATTGTAGGTGATAATGAAAAATAGCATAATTCTTTATGGAGAAGAATAGGCAATATCTAGCAAAATTCTACATATCTTTATACTGTCATACAGATAATCCACAATCTCCTATCTCAAGATCCTAATTTAATCACCTCTGTAATCACCCTTTTGATGTGTAAGTTTCCGGGAGTTCACAGGCTCTGGAGATTCTGACATACACATCTTGGGGGGCCACTTTCTGTCTAACACACAGGATCATAATACAAGTAGATGAATTTAATAATAAATATTAAAGGTTTGAAGTCATATAGAATATCTTCTCTATAGCAGAATTAAGCAAAAAAAAAATTAATGAGTAAATGATAAATGGGAAAACCTCAAAATGATCAGCACATTTCTAAATTGCCCTTGGGTCAAAGAAGAAATTCCAAGAGAAATTAGTAAATATTTGGGACTATATATAAGGAAAACAACTCCATTTCAAAATTTGTGTGATACAGTTAAAGCACTGTTTATATATTATATATTAATAGGCTTATATTAATAAAGTGCAAAGAGTACACAATCAATGATCTAAACTTCCCTTATAAAAAGCTAAAAAAAAGAACAAATAAAAAATTAAAGCAAGCAAATTCGTAAAGATGAGAACAAACTTAAAGAAAAAGTAGAGATCAATAAAATTTAGAAAATAACTGAATTCTGATTTTGAATTCTGAATTTTGAATTTTGAATTCTGATTCTTTGAAAATGTCAACAAAAGTGATAAACTAAGTAGATGGATCAAAAAAAAAAAAAAACCCAGAGAGAGAAAGAGAGAAGACACAAATGACCATTATCAGGAATAAAATAAGAAACATCACTGCTGATCTGACAGTCATTAAAAGGATAATAAGGAAATATGATGAACAACTTTATTTCAATAAACTTGGGAATGTAAATGAATTACACAAACTCCTTGATGGTGTAAACTACAAAACTAGCTCACAGAGAAACAAACACCTAAATAGTTCTATATTTACTAAAGAAATTGAATTCATTACTTAAAAGCTCTCCCAGAAGAAAACTCCAGGCCCAGGTGGCTTCCTAGGAAAATTCCATTGAATATTTAAGAAAGGAATAATACCAATCACACATAAATTCTCTTGGAAAATAGAGAAGGATGCAATAATTTCCAAACCACTTTATGAGTCCAGGATTATCCTGTTATCATCTTCAGACAAAGACATTACAAGACAAAGCTAAAGACCAATATCCTTCAAAATACTAGATGCAAAATCCTTAACCAGATTAGAAAACTAAATCAAGCAATATAAAAAACAGATAATATGTAATAATCAAGTACGGTATTATTCCAGGATCACAAGGTTTGTTTAACATTCTAAACTCAATATAATTCTCCCATATAAAGAGAATAAAGGAGAAAAGCATATGATCATCTCAATAGATGTAGTAAAAACAAAATTTTACAAAATGCATCATCCACTGATTCTAAAAGCTCTCAGCCAAATGTAAATATTAGGGTAAGAGAAGGAAACATTCAGTTAACACCATACTTAGTAGTAAAAGATTAAATAATCTCCTGCTCTAAGACTGGGAATAAGGCAAGAACGTCTGCCACATTTATTTTATTTTACATTACATTGGAAATCCTAGCCTGTGCAGTAAAGCAAGGAAAACAAACACACACACACACACACACACACACACACACACACACACAGGAAAGAAAGACATAAAACTGCTTTTACTTTGTGACTATTATCATGATGTACATAGAAATTCCTAAGGATGCTACTGAAAAAAAAAAAAAAACCTACTCTAACTCTAACTTTTGAGTGAATATAACAGCATCACATGATAACCCAAGACAAGTATACCAAAACAAACTGGGTTTCTAGATACTAGCAATGAAAATACAATAGCATTAAAAATCTATATAATGCTTAGAGATAATTTTAAAAGCATGTGCAATACCTGTACAATGAAAATTGAAAAGATTGCTGAATGAAATTAAAGAGGACATATATAGTTGGGGAACCATACAAAGTTCATGAATTGGGAGACTAAATATTGTTAAGGTATTGATTCTCTCCAAATTTATTTATAAATTTAACACAACTGCAAATAAAATCCCAATAGACACTTTTAAAGAAATTGTCAAACTGATTCTACAGTTTATATGGGAATATGAAGTATATAGAATATAAAATTTTGAAAAAAAAGAATGCATTTGGAGGATTTATACACCCTGACTTCAAACAGTTAACAAGGTAGTACAATATTGGCATCAATACAGATATTTAGATCAATGTTATGGAATTGGGAGTTAAGAAATAGATGTATAATTATATGGTAAGTTAGTTTTTGACAATTTACCAAAATGAATTGATGAGGGAAAATTTGTCTTTTGAATAAATGGTATTCGGTTAACTGGATATCGATATGGAAAAAGGGGGTTTAGCATTTTCCTGACACTATACACAAAATTTGATTCAAAATGGATTATGGACCTCAACACGAGGGCTTTAAAAGTGGAAAACTTCTATAAAAAAACATATGAGAAAACCTTTGCGATCTTGGGTAAGGCCAAAGTAGCGTAGACAGGACACAAAATATAGGAGTCACAAAAGAAAAATAAATTGTAATTAAATATTCCCAAAATTAAAAAATTGTGCTTGTCAGAAAATTCCTTTAGGAAAATTAAATGGCAAGTCACAGATGGTGAGAAAATATTTGCAAAATGTATATGTTACAAACTACTTGGATTCAGAACATACAGAGAAGTCTTACAACTCAATAATAAGAAGACAACCAAGTAAAAAATGTGCAAATACTTTGCAAATGAACAAGTCCAGGAAAAGATGTTCAACATCATTGGTCACTAAGGAGATGCAAATTAAAACCACAATGAGATACTACTGCACACCCACCAGAAAAACAAAAATTAAAAACAGGTGTTGGCAAAGATGTGAAGCAAATGGAAACCTTATGAACATATGTGGGAGTGTTAAATGACAGTTGGAAGAATAGCAGTGATTCATAAGGGGGTGGCTCTATGAAAGGGGACAGGATGATGTGGAACACATTTAATCCAGAGTTGTCCAGTGAGGCAAGTTGTTGTTGCTGGCCACTGAGATTTTGAGATCATCTGTTATACAACTTAACTTTGCAAAGGTTGATGAATAGAGTTGTATTTTGGCTTCCATATGGTGTTTTATTTCTTCCTTTTCCGTGCAAAATATTTTTTTGCTGAATTTATTGGTATTTTCCATTATTGCTTCATAATTTGAATTATAATTCCTACTTTCCAACTGCCCTGTGATAATTTACTTAAAAGTCCAGCTTTTCCCAGTAATTTGAAATGCCACCTTATCATATATGGAAAATCCATATATACTTGCTCTATACTTTCCATTCACTTTCATTGTTTTGTCTGTCTGTTCTTAGACGTAATATCAAACTGTTTAAATATAGTGACTTTACAAAAGTATGATTTAATATGCTCTTCTTTTTCAAAAATTTCTTGACTATTTGCTACTGTATTTCAAGACTCAAATTTTCTAGCTTCACAAAAAAATTAGTATTTTTATTGACATCACATATTTTCACATGTCATTTTTTATATTAACTCAAACAATATTGACTCTTTAGGAATTGAATCACTCAATCCAAGAATATAGGGTGTCTTGGTGAGCGCTGTGAATTGTGTAGGACTGTTGAATCACAGACCTGTACCTCTGAAACAAATAAAACATTATATGTTTAAAAAAAAAAAAAGAAGAAGATAGCAAGAGGGGAAGAATGAAGGGGGGGAAATCGGAGGGGGAGACGAACCATGAGAGACTATGGACTCTGAGAAACAAACTGAGGGTTCTAGAAGGGAGGAGGGTGGGGGGATGGGTTAGCCTTATTTTTGGTCTTGTGCTTATTTTTTTTGTTCTATATTGAAATTATATTACAAAAACACTTTGACCCAGTATACAGACTATACATCCTTATACCATATCCTAAAGAGAAAGAAGAACTGACACAAAATTTTAAAACATACTGTTTATGTGTATCATACAATAAAGTAAATGTGCTAATTAGAAACCAAGAATGTACAGTGATTAACGTAACATAATAAAAAAAAGAATATAGGGTGTCTTTCTGTCCAAGTTTATTTTTGTTTCTTGCAATAGTGTTTTATAATTTTCCATGTACAGATTATATATATTATTTTATTTCTGTTTTCTCA